AAGCAATATACCAGTTGGAAGATGAAAACTAAGTGTCATACAAGACAAAATGTTACACCATGGGAGCTACCTCTTGAATCTTGTATAGGACAAAGTGCTACATGATGGGAGCCACCACTTGAACTTGTAGGGTGTACCTCTAGAATCATATCTACATAGTGGATGATTCTTGGATAATGATGCTGACGAGGACATAATTTACTTAAGTTGGAGAGATTATGAAGCTCCTTACATAAAAGAAGCTAAACTCTTAAACATCGATGCTCCTTTTGTTATAATGGCTAGAATTTCTGTAAGTAACTCCATAGTTAAGCATGCTCATCTCGGAGCAAATTTGGGATGGATGACCTACTGAGAAGTTACACCAACATGACAAAACCGTGAGGCTCTTAGATCAAAATGAACAATATCTCGATAATTAAGAATTTGAACTGTTACAATTTAGAACTAAACTCCTAACCAACAAATCGAAGAGAGAGCTAAAATTTATTCTATATATATCATTTTTTATTAAACCTGTAATTAAATATTAAAATTTAATATAATACTTTCATTTAACGAATATGTAGTCCTATTTATTTTTTATATATTATTTGTAATATTTGAAAAATAAAATCGATTTTAATAGTTTAAATTTGATCTTTTTAAAAGTTGATTAATTGAAACAGCTTTTCAAATCCAAAATAACGCTCCCGTATATAAAAAAAATATACATCAGACGGCTGAGATCAGCCCAGCGCCGCTCCTACCTGCCCGTCTCCAGCTCACGGATTTCCCACCCCAAACTAAAAAATAAATAAATAAATAACTTTAAAAATCAAAGATGGTAACGTGGCCTTCAAAAATGTCCATGATGTGCTATGAACGGCCATGATCAGATTATTTAAAAATCCTTTATCTTTTTCACGCATTGAAGGGAGGGGACCACTCTCTTTATCAAGTGGACCACGCCGGAAAGAAGAGCATATCAAAACTCTCGGGGGCATTTATGTAATTTAGAAACGGGAATGGAGTCTATATAGAGTCTTCAGTTCATCGGCTTCTCCTGTAATCCATTATTGTTGCAGTTTGGTTGAGGCGCTCTCGCCGACTTCGAGTCTCTGAATTTCCGGCGATCAATCTGTTCAATTTCAAATAAGGTAGGCTTTCGATAATCATTAATTGGTTTTTCTTGTTTTGAAAATTTGTTTCGATTTCTTTGACTTGAGTTCAATTTTTTCTGGAATTAGAAGCGTTTCGTTTGATATTTTGGTTTTTTGACGGAATAGTCAGGTTGATCGGGGAATTCAGGCTACCTCATGCTATTAAGGGAAGAGCACGAGGCTCAGGTGAGAAACGCGCGGTCGCTGCTGGCTTTCTCGAGGAGCCGCCCGATAAAGCTAGGTTCATGGAGGTTGGATAGGAGGAGCATCGGTGGCGTTCGGAATGGAGAGGGGGATGGCGATTGTCGGGTCTGTGCTCGGGCCGGGGACTTTTTGCTGAGGTTTGCTGGAGGGGAGGGCGGTGAGTTCGTGGGACAGATCGGAGGTTTTAGCCACGAGAGTGAGCACGACCTGGCGGTGATGGTTAGCGATTTCTTAGAGGATGGAAGTGGCAGCCTTGAGTCGCGGTATAGTAGTGACAGTGACTCTGGGTTTCCCGATCCTAAACATCTCGCAGAGAACGTTCGGGTGAGTTTTCATTCCCTAAATAGGATTTCCCTCCTGTGTTTTGAATGATTATCTGTTCATGGCCAGTCGTTATTTGAAATTTTGATTAAGTTTAGGCTCATTTGTTTGCTTGAAGTTGGAAAACATATTTAAAAAATATATGAATTTATAACCTACAAATTCCCTAAAATCATTTAAAAAAATAATGATTTATTTTTCATCCATTCAGAGTGAAAACGAAATCATTATCTTATTTACATGCGATGTATTGAGACCTAGTTATGTTATATTCCCAAAAAAATATTTTTAAAATATTCCCAAAAAAAAGACCTAATTATGTTTCTTCTTATCATTCTATCAGCAATGTTATGTCCTGCCTCCTGAACCATAGATTTTAAGTTTTAAACATGCAATTATGTAATCTGGCAGGGCCTGGGTTTTAATAATACACATTCAAATTAAGTATCCTTCACTCAGAATATATATTACTTGGCAGTCCCGCAAGAGCTGGACAATTTTAGGATCACCTATTTGATTTTGAACAAGGTTGGTCATCTTGATTTTCCCAAATAGTTAGGAAAGGCAGTTGCTACTGATGCTGATGGTAGTTTTTTTTATCATCGGGATTTGACGAAGTTATTTTTTTCTGAAATTGCTAGTTAGATTAAGCTTTTTAAATAAAATATCTAATTAAAATCTCTACAAAATACATTTTTTTCTAGCAAAAAGGAAGCTATATAGGCAAGATGAATTTTTAAGCACTTCCAATTGAAATATTTTTATTAGTTCACGGATGTTATAATAAGGCAAATTTCAGACATATTCATTGGCTTTGCAAGGTTCTTTGACTTTTTTCTTCGAGAATTATGGACCATCATCAATGATAGATTATTAGTTTCAGGCCGTAATGGTAAATAATTTCGGTCCATTTAAAAATTTTGAACACATAAGAGGTGACTTTCGTCACGCCTTCTTCACTGCAATACACTTTATACAATACTATATGAATGAACTTTCGTTGAACCTTATTGAAGTCAGTTTCCTTCAGTATCTTATTTTCCGGTGGTGAAAGCAAGTTTTCTAATGCCTGCTCTAGGCTTTTTTTTTTTTTTTTACACAACTCTACTTGGCCTATTGGTTGAGAGCTTAGGCTTCCAACTAAGAGGTTCAGGATTCGAGTCTATGTGTATGCGTTGTGTGTGTGAGTTTGCCTTAAATGGTCTAAATGTCCAAAAAAAAAAAGCTTCTTTTTTTAAAAGTACTTGGTATGATTTGTCCTAGTTGTCAGAATAATCAATTGGATTGATGGAACCTGCAATTTGCAAGGTATTTTTGCCTATTAATTACCAATTTCTTTAAAAAAATTGCTTATTTAATGTTTTTTCAATAGTTTAAAAAATTCGAAAACCTTATAAATGTTTGTACAGTAAACCAGAAGAGTATCATTCTATTTTTTGTCAATTTATTTTAGTCATCTGTTCTTGTTTTTTATATATATCTTTTTTCTTTTTTTCTATTTTTTATGATGAAAAGAAAATTTTTATGATGAAGCTAAAGCTAGTACTGGATGGTAACACAACTCTCCTTGGCCTATTGGTTGAGAGCTTAGACTTCCAACTAAGAGGTTCAGGGTTCGAGTCTATTTGTATGCGTTGTGTGTGTGAGTTTGCCTTAAATGGCCTAAATGTCCCAAAAAAAAAAAAGAAGGATGGTAGCTAAAGCAAAACTATTGACAAACCCAAAATGGATCAGTTAAACGCTCATTTATATTGATGTACCTGCAGTACGCATTCTTTAGGATATATGTGTTTAGCTGAAGGCTTCCCATCCTGAGCACCACACGAATATTTAAAAAGGAAGAATGAACTAAGCTCTTCTAAGTTTTTATACTCTAGATTTAGGCTTCGTTTGGGCAACCTTCGTATGCTTTTTAGTAAAAAATCAAAAAAAATTGTATTTAAAAGTTGTTTTAGAAAGTAAGAAGAAAACCGTCCCAAACAAAGCCATAATCTAACCTAAAGAAGTTGAAATCTCCTTATGCATCCATAGAATGGGATGGTATTAACTTCCCACTGAATTTTCTTTGTTGTGCAGATCCTGAAAAATTCTGTTGAACAGAGTGTGAGTGCACTGTCATCATCTGTTCAGTCTCTTTTGCTTTCAATAAATGATTCCGACCTGCTTTCCTGCATTGGTAGCCAATGCAATGGTGGCTGTATTAGGCAATCGCTTGCAAAGCTTCTACGTCTTTCTGGGTTTGATGCTGCCGTTTGTCAATCCAAATGGCAAGGTTTTGGCAAAGTCCCAGGAGGTATTTACTGGCCTTTTTACCCCTGTTGCATATTTACCATGCAAATATCAAACTGGAAACCTAGATGTTTGATTCGTTTGGGCAGCTTTTTTTGCTGTTTTTTAAAACAGTTTTTTAGTAAAAAATTTTAATTTTTATATTCTCTGCTTTATCTTAGGTGATCACGAGTACATCGATGTAATTCTTAGCGGTAAATCTGGGATTTCTGAACGAATGGTTGTAGATATTGATTTTCGCAGCCACTTTGAAATAGCAAGAGCAGTTGAATCTTACGATGCAATCCTTGCTTCTCTTCCTGTCATCTACGTCGGTTCCATCTCCAAGCTTAAGAAATTCTTACAAATTATGGTTGACGCTGCAAAATTTTCTCTTAATGAGAACTCCATGCCATTGCCGCCGTGGAGGTCGCTTCCATATTTACAGGCGAAGTGGCAATCCCAATATGAAAGAAAATCCTGCTCAGATGGAGAACGCAGCCTTGTCTTTGATTCCTCCGATCACAGGCAGTGCATTGGTCATCTGAGGAGGCTTAAATCTTCCCTTCAGTCGGAAATTGCTGCCGAGAGGCTTCTGAAGCCTATCACTAATGATAAAACGAGAATGGTGCAGTTTTGAGTTCGGTAAGCCATTTTCATGCTCTTATTGGAATAAATAAGAAAAGAGGATCAATAACCTGCCATTTTTTCACGGCAGCTGTGCGGTTCATATAGTATGAAGTTTTTTTCTAAATTTTTGAATGGTATAGAGAATGTTTTTTTTTTTTGTTTTTCCTACTTCTTACCTTGTTACGTTTTCATAAGATGATGGGAATTGGGAACTAAGAATAAATCCCTTTTAAAAGGATGAAAAAAGTTTCCAAAAATTTGTTTAATATGGTGTTATTTAGTAGTTATTAATAAGTGGATTCTATTGCCCACTCTTTTCTTTTTTCCTTCAGTCTCCGTGAAATTAGTTAATGTATTATATATAGCAGCGATGCTGTCTAAGCTGTGGAAGCTCATGCTTAGATCATCTCCAACCGTTCGGCAAACAACCGAATGGAGGCCCTTAAACATCGCAACCGAATGTCTTTTCTCCGCCATTTGATCGGGGATGAACAGTGTGACGCCAATATTGGTGTCACACTGTTCATCTTTGTCATTTTTTGGTCTCTGCCGAACTTGCGGAAGAAAGACGCGAAAGAAGAGAGTGACGGTTAGGGGGCAAAATGGTGTTCGATTGGAGATGAATCACGACACTTTTTGGTTTCACTGCATGTTGGAATGAAAAATGAGATTTTCGGTTGGAGATGCCTGATGCCCTTATGAGAGAAATTATGCTGTGCAGAGTCTGGACATTGCTCTCTATGTTTGGACCCCAATCCCGTAAACTTTATGTTCTTCTTATTTGAAAGTTTTCAGCTTATGCATCCTGTGAGCATATCATTTCTTCAGATAATTGAATGTCATCCAAAGCAGTCTCCATCTTCTTCGTTAGTTCCACCAAAATTTTGGGGACGATTCGCAGAAAAGCTTTATTCCCTGAAAACTCTAAACTTTGGTAACAAGTCGCGTGTTTTTTTTTTAAGGAGCACCAACTAAATCCTGTGACAGCTCGTCAAGTCACACGTGAGTAAAAAAAAATCCACGCGGCTGCAAAAAAAACCCAAAAAGTACATGTCAACAACAGATTGGAGTCTGGACATACAACTACGTCCTAACTCAGCATAGAATAATTTCTGCTCTCAATGGGCTTTGCTTTGATGTTAGAATTTAGGGAGATTTACATAAATACCATCTTATACTATTCTATTTACATATTTAACACTTAAAACTTTAATATTACATACATACCACCCATAGTTCATTTTCATATCAAATATGAATGGTAGGAAAGAAATATTAGTGATATATTTGATATTAAAATAATATATGGTGGTATGCATGTAATATTAAAGTTTTGGATGTTAGATATGTAAATAGGATGTTATAAAGTGGTATGTATGTAAATTTTCTTAGAATTTAATGCTCTGTGCTCATAAATTTCCTAATTCTGTCACTACTCACTACTGAATTTGAATTTTTTTTTTCTCTATTGTAGAAAATTTGTTACTATTACGATAACAAAGTTTTTCTGTTTGATGTAATTAAAACTTAAAACACTGCTAGACACCAAAAATAGTTTGACAAACCCTCTCTTCCCTCCCTCTTTTCTATCGATTTAATTGTGATTGTGAAATGCCAAATTCGCTTTTTAAGCTCTATTTATAATTATAACTTTTTTTTTTTGAAAATATTAACACTTTTTTTATATTTACTTATCTAATACCAAAATTTTTATAACACATAATTTTTAAAATTACATAAAAAATATCACTAATGTTAATGTAAAGAAGGGAACAAAGGATCGATACAGATTAAAGGAGGGCCCTCCTTCAATGGAAAAATTATTCTGTGCGTACATCAGACACAATTAAAGGTCAAAGCCCAATGAAAATGGGCGACGTCATCTAGTATCGAGTGATACCGAGTGACATTGCCCTTTTTTTATTGGATTTTGAATCGCATTCGTAGTCCGCACATAATAATTCTTCCCTTCAATGAGACTTCTCGGACCTTAACATTACCAATTTTGAAAAAAAAAAAAAAAAAATCTATAACATAGCCCCTTCACTCACTCATCCAAGGCTGAAAAGGTTGTATGAAGGTTGAGGTATAATTTGATTTCATGCCATCGTACGGTTAGATGAAGGTACTCTGTGACACTACAGAGCCTGAAAAGCATCACTAATTGCTCAGAGAGATCACCCTTTGTCTTGCATATCATTTTCCAATCATCATCTAGGTTAACAAGAACTTGTTGGTTTCTTACTGGTGTTGGGGATGAGGAGCAAACACTACAATGACGAAACAAGCAAGAAAGTAAAAGTAGCTGGAAAATAAAGGACACCAGGACGTAATGTGAAAAAATTCAAAATAGAGAAAAAAAAACAACAAAACAACGCCACATCAAGAAATTCACTATAAAAATTTGGAGAAATAAGTGCATATATCTCTTCTCTCTCCCTCACCCATTGTTTCTCTTCTCACATGCATCATTAACAATGTTTATCCTACAGAAATACAAGAGAAAGCTAGGTAAATAACTCCAAGGAACACAATCCACTAGAAAAACTAGAAAGAAAATCATCCACACCACCACCAATGTCAGTAATCATCGACCACTATCTTTTTCCACTTTATATTATATTTATTTTACTTCAAATCATTCAAAAAATTAATATCATGCATTCCTTTTACAATCATCCAAACAATTTTAAAATATTCTTGAAGTTTATATGACATTCTTTTTACACTATATTCCTTTTTCACTCAACAAAATTGTCATGTAATGTAAATCATTTAAGTTTATTTTTGAGATAAACTAAACTTGCCCAATTTGAGCGAGAACCATTTACACCGAATACAAACTCACTTGATCGTTGCCGCCACCACCGCTGACCCCACCACCACCGACCGTTGTTGTCACCATCCACCATCGCCACAACCACCAGCTGTCACCATCTTTGAACTTTGTATTATATTCATTTTACTTAAAAAGAAAAAAAAAAAACCCTACATTTACTTCAAACAACTCTGAAATACTCATTTTACATACTATTCAATTTACAATGCATTACTCTTTTAACCAAAAAAGCAATCCCTTATGAATAAAGAATACAAAGGAAATTTTCAATGAATTTCCTTTTCATTTTTTTGATATATTGTAAATTTATTTGTTTGTTCTTTTTTTTTTTTGGAATTTTTATATACATAACAATTAAAACTATTGAAAATACATATTTAACACCTAAAGTTCTATATTTACTAATACACCACCTAAAATCTTATTTTCCTTCTATTCTACCACTCCATTGAAACGATGAGATACTTGTATTCACTGTGAAAGGATGTAATTGACTGGAAAGACATTGTTGATAGTTATTTTTGACGGAAGGTTTAAACAGAGTGTTAGAATTGATTAAAAGAGTGGTTTTATGTGCTATATTAATAAATATAGAAATTTAGGTATTAAATATGTATTTTCAATAGTTTTAGGCTTTATGTATCCAAAAATCCCTTTCTTTTTTTACCGCAAGTTTACTTTGCTTGGCACCTAATATTATCACAATCATCATTAGCCACCACCTGATATTGTCGTCCATTATCCCTGCTCAGCACCACCACCACAATAGTCGTCACCTGTATGGCACCCACCTACCACCATCGTCATCGCCACTACCATCTAGCCGTTGATGTTACTGACTATTGTCATTGTTGATCTTTACACTTCATTTATTTTCCTCAAAATCAAACAAAAAATATAATCAAATATATTTATTTTATATTTATACAAATAACTTCAAATATTTCATATATTTTATATGGTATTATATCAAAATATTCTTTTTTTTTTCCTCAAATCTAAAATCCCTCAAGTGAAATAAACCTTTCGGGGAATTTCTGATTGCTAAAATGGTAAAGAAAGGTTTTCCAAGTATCTTTGTGAGCTGGGTAAAAGCTCGCTTTTTTATGTGAATTTATCTGCCTTGATTAATGGTGCCATTGAGGGATACTTTTCTTTTTTTGTTGGGTTAAAATAAGATTGTCTCCTTAGCCCGTATCTTTTCTGTTTGGTGATGGATGTCTTTTCTTCACTTGTTGATGAAGGTGGTTTCATAGGGATAAATATGGAAGGATTTACATTATCTCATATTCTTTATGCTGACGATGTACTCATCTTTGGAGAAGCAACTTTAGATGATTGCAACAAACTCACAAGTATCCTTTCTTCATTTGCTAATGCTTTCAAGCTACATGTGAATTTAGATAAAAGTTTTGTCATGTTTCCTAGGAATGTGCATAACCAGGAAGATATTTGCCAAACTATCTCCATACACAACACTAGCCTTAAGATTACTTATCTGGGGATTCTTTTGTCATTCAATCGCCTTAAAGTGGCTGACTTTATGCCTCTTATTGATATCATTACTAAAAAGCTATCTAGGTGGAAAACCAATCTCCTCTCTTTTGCAGGTCATCTTCAGTTTCTAAAATTCACCATTCTTAATTTAATTGCATGCCTACTGGATTCGTGGTGTCATTTTGCCTAAATCTGTCATCAAATATTTCAAAAAAGTTTGCTCAAAATTCTTATTTTTGGGGGACCCTGGAGAAAGTAGAAAGATTCACATGATTTCATGGGATAAGGTGTGCAAGTCCAAGCAATATGGGGGATTAGGGCTGCCTTCTCTGAATGCTGTTCAATTTGCCTTTAACTGCTCGGTTATCTTCAGGATGTACAACCTGGCCTCTCCTCTCTCTTCCTGGCTTTGCACCCAATAAATCTCACCTTGGCGTCCACCTCCTCCTTTTGATATTAGCTTCTGAAAATTGATATGTATCTCTGCTGCTGCTGCTAACGAAAAATTCAACTTTAGAATCACCCCAAATGCTCCTATTTCCTTCCACTGAGATCATTGTTGTTATAATGGAAAGTTAGATGATTTCTCGAATGGCCATTACGTTCTTCAAGCTACTACTCCTGATTCCCTCATCAGGGATTACATTTTGGGCACTAGCTGGGCTTTGCCCAATTTTATTCCTTCCTCTGTCTGCGATGCTATCCAAGATATTCCTATTTTAGAGAGTTCATATCCCTGCTTAGCATGGGGGAATCAAAACAAAAGTAAATTTGCGGATTACATTAATAAGTATTACTCAAACTTGCCAAGTTGTCACTGGTATAATTTGGTATGGTACTCTAAATATGCATTGAAATTCTCATGCTTCACATGGCTGGTTATAGGAGGAGGTATGAAAACTACTGAAGCTTTGCATAAAAGGAACATTATGGTGCCTCTATCTTGAGATTTATATCATGTTTTCCTGAAAATGAAACTCATTTATTTTTCAAGTGCTCCTATTCATATGAAATTCTATTGGACCTTATGCCTAACACCAAGAATCTTCTCCTTAGACCAAATATACTTCGGCTCTTTGAATTGATTGATGGAGAACATAGCTTTCCACAGCCGATTAAAAAGCTTTATTTTCTTATTTCTTGTTGATGCATCTATTACATTTGGAAAGAAAGGAACAATAGGAGATTTGGGAACATCTTTAATAGCAGCATATCCACTTCTCATATTATCAAGAAAGTTGTTTTTGAAAAAGTCATCAAATGGAAGCACTTCCCAAAATATTTGGATCTGATTTTGCTGTTGTAACTGGATTGCTGGGGAGTTTCTCTTTTATGTTTTGGCTGATTAGCTCTCGTTCACGCTGGATTCTCTTTTAATTGTTTGCTTTCTTTGTGTTTCTGCCAAGCTCAAATTTTCCAAAAAAAAAAAACCTTTCATACAAAAACTTTTGAATTAATTTAGACACTAAATAGAGAAATATTAAATATAAATTTTATAAGTAATGAAAAAAAAAATTTTGGGGCAAAAATAACATTATCGAATTCTTCAATTCATATTCTAAAAATCACCCTTCAAAGAGAAAGCGATTCAACGGCAGGAGTTCTCTAAATTAAAATCCAACTGAAACTGACAAACAAGAACACATACATAAGAGTAACAAGAAGAAAAATCCCAACTTCCTCACCGGCGGCAGCACCCCATCTGCTCCATCAACCTCCTAACCTTCGCATGCTTCGCCGCCCACTGCTCCACAAGCTTCTGCTCCTTCGCCTCCGCATCCCTCCTCAAAACCATCAACTGCTCCTTATACTCGGCATCTATCCGCTCCAAAGCCACCGCTTGCTCTTCCCTCAGCTTCTTCACTTTCGCTTCAACTTCCTCCATCGTCTCCCTTTTCCGGCAAGCCTTCTCGGCTTCGAGCTGCTGTTCGACTCTCCGGAGATGCCACGCCGCTTCCTTTTTGTGAGCAGCCAACGCGCCGTGCTTCTCTTCGAGATCCCGGCAGCATTCTGCGAGATCAAAGGCGGCACCTTTTTCGATGTGGAGGCGAGGAGAAGATGCTGAAGGTGCGGCGGTCGAAGGGGAGAGGGTGAGGGTGACGGAAGGAGAGGAAAGCCATGGCGGAAGGGGTGGAGCTGCCATGAAAATGAAGAAATGAAGAGTTGATGGTTAGAGAAAATAGAAGAGGTGGGGGGATTGAGAAAAGGGAAAAAGAAAAAACTCAAAAAGGCGGGCCTTTTAGATCTCGTAAGGTCTTTTCGAGGTCTGACTCGCCTGCGGCGGGAGAGAGACGCATCGCTGCCGCTGGGAACACGGGGGTGAGGACTCGATTGTGTGCCCAGCCATGTGGCGCTGGGCCACAGGAACGCTGCCGGGTTGCGTTAAGCGGAAGATAGGCACTAACTGTACAAGAGAATATGAAACACTTGATCAAAATAAGTCTTATTCATTACCATTAGTCTTATTTGAAAAAGTGAATTTTATTATTATTATTATTATATTTATTTCATGATGAATATTATTATGTGCTAGAAAATTTATCAATATAGAATTTATATTTTATGTGTTAGCTTTAGAAAAGATTTAGCACATATAGATAAAATGTTGTAGAAAATAGCAGGAATCGGAGTACAATTATTCACTTTCTATTGAAATCAGATTTTAATGTTTTGATTTCTAAATAAACCAAATAATTATTATTTTAATAATATAAATTTTATATTTAAATATAATTAAACTGGTTAATTAATTCTTTTAAGAAATAAATTGTTCTTTTTAATAATATAAATTTTATAATTTAAGTTGTAAAGTATTTGTTATATGTAAATCATATAATTTTAAAAAAATATTAATTATAAAAATTATGAAATTATTATAATAAATATTTTAATTTAAGAAATTATAAATAAAATCCATATATAATTAAAGAAATAAATTATAAAAATATAAATCATAGTTCAATTCGACTATATTAAGGAAAAGAGAACGAACCAAAAGAACTACAAAGATGATTCTTCCTTCATCATTTGAACAAATGAAGGAGCTTACACCCGGTAGCCAACCGTCGTCGAACTTCGATCTGACCTTCGTCAGTCCACCATTCTGCCATTGATCACCGCCAGACTTCCACAAGGCCGTCGACCGCTGTCGGACTTCAGTCGACGACTTTCTCCGGACTTCATTCCAACCATCGTCGAACCACCTCCCGCCCATCAACCGTCGACAGACTTCCACCCAGCCGCTGACCGTCTCCGGATTTCAACCCAACCTTCTTTGGACCACCGCTCGGTCGCCGATCTCCCCCACACTTCCACCCAAGGCCGACTACAACCGGATATTAGCCCGAATGTCATCGGACCACCGCCCGGTCGCTGATCGTGACCAGACTTCCACCTAGCCTCCGACCGCCGCTAGACTTCAATCCAACCTTCGTCGAACCACCGCCCTACAACTGATCGCCACCAAACTTCCACCGAGCTGTTGACCGTCGTCGGACTACAGCCCGACCTTCATCTGACCACCGCCCGGCCGCCGATAGACACAGACTTTCAACCGACTGCCGACCATCTTAGGGCTTCAGCCCGACCTTCATCGGACCACCGCCCGGCCATCGTCCGTCACCATACTTCAACCGGCCGACTACGGTCCCTCCGACCACCATCACCAGACTACGATCATTCTGACCTATGTTGCTCACCGACTATGGTCCTTTCAACCTTCGTCGCCCACCGATTATGGTTCTTTCAACCTCTGTCGCCCATCGACTAAGGTCATTCCGACCTCCCCAGTCGACTACGGTTCCTCCAACCACCGTCACCAAATTGCAGTCCCTCTGACCACTATAACCAAACTACGGTCTTTCCAATCTTTGTCGCCTACAGACTACAGTCCTTCCAAACTCCGTTGTTTGCCGACTATGGTTCTTCTGACCTCTTTCGCCGACTACGGTCTTCTGACCTTCATCGCCAGACAACGGTCTTTTCGATCTTCGTCGCCACACCGTGGCCTTTCCGACCTCTTTCGTCAGCCGACTATGGTCCTTTCGACTTAACACGTCATATTGATTCTTCCTATTCCCACCATGCAATGCACTCCATATGATGTACATTTGTGACATCAAGACAAGGCATTCTCCCAATGAAGGGCCTCATTTGTAATCAACTGCAAATATTAGTAAATCATTCCAAACTGGACTAGGCCCTGTGGTTTTCCCCCTTTTCAGGGGTTTCCATGTAAAAACTCTATGGTCTCTTATGAATGTGTACCCTCTATATGATATAATTGAATGTTGGATCTTCGTACAAAGCTAAGATGTTAAACTATATATATGTATTCCTCTACTGACACAAATATTCTAGGACGCAACTATTATTATTATTATTATTATTACTACTGCTATTATTAGTCTTTCTATTATTAGTGCTCTTCTCTTTATTTTTCTCTAAGTAAACTATACATCAATAAGACGCTCAGGTACACAACGATGTATGCAAGGTTGTACCGAAAAAGTATTAATCTAGTTAAAATTAGCATAACCCAAGTAGAAGGCTAGAAGCGTGCTCAACTTGGATATGAGACAATAGAACAACCTGATTGATCAAAACAATTAGATTCCACACTAAACTAACATTGCAATGACCGATGAATAATTATGATTATCAGCAGAAGATTAAGTAAGATTTGAATTTAAATTTTATTAAGTTAGGCGTCTTAAAATAGTTGACTTTGATTAAAATATAAATGATGAAGAGAGCGAAATATTGTTCTTTTTTTAGTCCACGGCATTGTAAAAGGATAGCCTCTCTTATGTGTTCTTTCTAATCTGTAATATATTTTTGTATTTATTATTTATTTTATAAGGGCTGACTTTATTTGATTAAGGTTTTTTCTTAGCGCTGACTTCATAAAATATATATTTGCAATTATGATTTGAATATTTTTAACAGTAAAATATTATTTACTGATGATGTCCCCATTGACCTTCTTTTAAAATTGATAAAATAAGTTAATAGTAATTATATTTTTGATGTTATTTAGACATTTAAATATTATAAAAATCAATAAAAAAATTAAATGTTATCTCCTAAAATAGCATGTTTTATTGATATTGACCCTTATTTTGGAACAATTATTAGGTCCGGACACCTAGCATAACTCTACATCCGGATGTCAATAACATGTCGCCACGTGCTCTTACTCTTTACCGCGCGGCCCAACGACCCGACCCAGACCGGAACCCAATATTGCTATGTTCGGGTATTGCTAGGTATTGCTCGGTATTGCTAGGTATTGCTTGATAATAACAAGAAATACCGCTATGTCAATACCGAGCAACACCTAGCAATATCGAGCAATACATAGCAAAACCGGTGTATTGCTTGGTATTGCTAGGTATTGTTCGGTACTGCTCGGTATTGCTAGGTACTGCTCGGTATTGTTCGGTACTGCTCGGTATTGGTCTTGATAGAATGATATTTCTCATTATTGTCGAGCAATATCTAGCAATACCTATCAATAACCCGGTCTGCACAAATCAGCCAATACATAACAATCCCGGGTCCGTTTGTCGAGCCCGCGGTAAAGAGTAAGAGCACATGACAACATTTTATTGGCGTCCGAATGTAGAGCTACGTCAGGACGCCATACCTAATAAAAATTCCTGATTTTGGCTCAGGTTGGCCATTCACCATCCTTTTCGGGCTTGACTCATACAGGTTCGACATATTGAGCCCAATAAGCTATGAATATGATTAATATGATCACAACAGCCCAAAGTGTCAGCCCTCATGTCATCAGAACGGCCCGCTTGGGTCCTTAACGGCCTCGTCAATGTTTGACCGAAACCACGCGGGTGGCTGGCCGTGAGCATTTTTATTCCAATAAACCCCTCTTCTTTCGTTAAATTAAACGAATTATACTCTCAAGCAAAAATTATTTGGTAAAAATGTAATGCAACATAGAGTGATTACATTTTACTGTTTTGCATCTTGATTAAAAAAAGTATATTTAATCAGATAGAATTTTTATTATTGAATAATTTACTTCTTATTAATTTATAAGTCCAAAATGTCTAATTTTCTATGTAACATATATCACACAATTTTAATATTTAAATTAAGAAAAAATTATTTTTGGCGAAGACGGATTCAGCATTGCATTTAAATTAATTATATTTCTTTGAATGAATTCAATTTGTATTATTATTCCTAGATTAAATAAGACTAAGCTTTCGGAATTTTTTAGCTTAGGATATGCCGTCCAAATGACTGTTTCATTTGAAGGAGTAATTAAAAGAAATAAAAATTCAAAATATAAAAACGAGCAAATTAATTTATATTAATTTTCACTCAATTGTTTGATAGAACAAACGATTTTTTTTATTATATATGGATAAATTAATTGTTTTTTAACAGTGAAAAAAGGTACGACTTTATCAGTTCAATTCTTTATTTATTACCCGCTTGGGCCCTTAACGGCCTCGTCAATGTTTGACCGAAACCACGCGGGTGGCTGGCAGTGAGCATTTTTATTCCAATAAACCCCTCTTCTTTCGTTAAATTAAACGAATCATACTCTCAAGCAAAAATTATTTGGTAAAAATGTAATGCAACATAGAGTGATTACATTTTACTGTTTTGCATCATGATTAAAAAAAGTATATTTAATCAGATAGAATTTTTATTATTGAATAATTTACTTCTTATTAATTTATAAGTCCAAAATAACATCTTTTTAAAGCTTAATTTCGAGAGAAATTATTGTGTGGGGCCGTCTAACACGTTCGGAGGCGAATGAGGAGACGCCACATCATCCAATGCATATTAATTGCATGACATTATGAAGTGGCCAAATAAAATCCAATACCCTTATAAAATATAAAAGCAACTAATATTTCATTTTGAATTATCTTTACAAATGTCTAATTTTCTATGTAACATATATCACACAATTTTAATATTTAAATTAAGAAAAAATTATTTTTGGCGAAGACGGATTCAGCATTGCATTTAAATTAATTATATTTCTTTGAATGAATTCAATTTGTATTATTATTCCTAGATTAAATAAGACTAAGCTTTCGGAATTTTTTAGCTTAGGATATGCCGTCCAAATGACTGTTTCATTTGAAGGAGTAATTAAAAGAAATAAAAATTCAAAATATAAAAACGAGCAAATTAATTTATATTAATTTTCACTCAATTGTCTGATAGAACAAGCGATTTTTTTTTTATTATATATGGATAAATTAATTGTTTTTTAACAGTGAAAAAAGGTACGACTTTATCAGTTCAATTCTTTATTTATTAATTAGGATTATGTTGGAAATTGTTAATGAAATAAATATATTTTTATGTTTTAAAATATAGTTTAATTAGCTATATTTGAGAGGAAGTTTTAAGTTTTCATCAATATAACACCATAAAATTTATAAATATAAGTTTTTAATGACAATTTTTTCGTTCATTTTATTCAATTTTTTTTTGATAAATTTATTTATTTTGTGATTCTTTCACTTTAAATATCTTCGTTTAAATGTTAGTTTTGAATGAATTTTGATTGTAACGATCAATTGGGTTGTGCTGTTGCCTCAAACCAAAATCCAGTTGATTGAGTCAATGTGATGTAAATTTATACACCATAATAACATTGTAAATTTATCGTCTTATAAATTTGGCAGTCTCTTTATCTGTTTTATATGTTGATAGTGTGAGAAGCAAAAAGAGGCAAGGAGAGAGTGTTAGAAGAGTGATATATACATTATTTTTATTTTGTTAGAATATTTCTTGATGTGATGCGGCTCCGTAGTTTTTTTTTCCCGATTTTGACTTTTTCACGTCAAGATTTTTTGGGACGATTTTTTTGCTGCTTCTTAAAGCACATTTTTAGTACAAAAATAAAAATTAAACCGAAAATGAAATCTAAATCTTGACATTCTTCTGCTATTGTTTTTTTTCTTATTAGTTTTGTTGTGTAGTTTTCCTTCTTCCCATCAACACATTTACAATCATAAAAAATATTGGGAAGTAATTAGATCCTATTAAAATTTCATTTGGACCCACTTTCTTACTGTTTTTTAAAATAATTTTTTAGTACAAAAATTTATTAAAAAATTACTTTAAAAAATAGAAAAAAAATTTCCCTATCATATAGCCTAAAGCACCCAAAAGCATTGCTTGTACGTACATTGTCCCATCTAAGACACCATAAAAGGCCAGTTGATCAGCATCTACAAAGTACGAATCTTAATATATTCATTAAGAATAAATTAAATTTATTGAGTCAACATCTAATTATTTTATGTTTTTTTTTTAATATTTAGAATAATTAAGAAAATTTCATACACAAATTCATACATTTTGAATCTAAAATCGACGTGAGCTGCTATTATTATTTCTGCCACTGCACCACCTGCATTCAAACTCCCCGCCCTCCTCATTTCTGAAAGTCAACCCCTCTCGGGACGCCATTGTTCTCTTCCTCTTCCAAATCCTATACATGCTCTCCCCATTCTAGCCCTCTACTGCGCAAGACGAACTATTCTATTCTGATTCCTTCCTGTATGGGTAACAATGGCACCAAACTCACGGGCTGCTTCTTTAACTGCAGCCCCGGCCATCGCCGCAGTCAAGCCTCCGCCGCCGTGACGACGGAGCCATATGAAGGGGGTTTCGGTCACTCCTTCTCCTACGTCCGCTCGGAACCCCTCTTCCATCGCTCCACCTCATCCAAAATCCACCACTCCGACGACTCAACAACCACCTTCCGTTCGATCTCCGGCGCTGCTATCAGCGCCAACCTACATACTCCCACCGCCACTGCCACTGCCACTGCAGCCGAAGCTGCATTCCAAAGTTCCAGCTCCTTCTTCTCAGCGCCTCTCCTACCTCACCCTTGCCAACCGAAAGCCGCTGCTTTTCAAGATGCCGGCGACAATCTCAACCTCCACTGGGCGCAGGGCAGAGCAGGGGAAGACCGCGTCCATTTAGTCATCTCCGAGGAGCAAAGTTGCCTCTTTGCCGGAATCTACGACGGCTTCAACGGCCCCGACGCTACTGACTACCTCCTCTCCAACCTCTACCCCGCAGTTCAGCACGAGCTCAATGGATTAATGCTCTCAAATGAAAACAATCAAGAAAAACTCGACCTTTCGTCATCAATCTATGATTCAGATCAAAACAGGGATGAGGTAAAATCAGGGATGAAGTCGCAGCGGTCGGCGAGGAACTGGGAAGAGACGAATAGGAGGTGGAAGCATGAGTTTTCTAAGGAAAGGTCGGAACTTGATAGTATTTTAAGGAAGGATGAGAGCCATTTGAAGGTACTGAAGGCTATGTCTCGTGCGTTGAAGAAAACTGAGAGGGCGTTTCTGCAAGTTGCAGACATGATAGTTTCAGAAAATCCGGAGCTAGCCCTCATGGGCTCTTGTGTGCTCGTAATGATAATGAAAGGGGAAGATGTTTATCTCATGAATGTGGGAGATAGTAGAGCTGTTTTGGCGCAGGAGGGAGAAAGAAATTTGAGGAATTTAGAGAGGATTAATGAGGAAACTCTGCTTGATGATCAACCCGATGGCTTGAAGAATCTCGTAGCTCTTCAGCTTACAAGGGATCATTGCACTGGCATCGAAGAGGTGAGAGCAAGAACAATAAGTTTATATATAAAAAATAAGTGTTTGAGTTACTTTCTGGGTTGATTTGATTTTATCTTCTGTAAAACAGGAAGTTAGAAGAATCAGAAGTGAACATCCCGAAGATGCTTTGGCCGTAATGAATGATCGAGTGAAGGGATCGTTGAAAGTGACGAGAGCTTTTGGTGCTGGATTTTTGAAGCAGGTATTGCAGATAATATATATTTTCTACTTCATTATGAATGTTTACTTAACAATGAATTTTAACTCTGGATTTTTACCTGTTCATGATTGAACTCTTAACTAATTACATTGTTAATCTTCTTCTTTTATGCCAGCCCAAATGGAACAATGCGCTCCTTGAGATGTTCAAAATTGACTATATTGGAACATCTCCTTATATCACATGCTCCCCCTTTCTGTATCATCATAGACTTAGCTCTCGAGATAGTTTTTTAATACTTTCATCTGATGGCCTCTACCAATATTTTACAAACGAAGAAGCCGTAGCCGAGATCGAATTGTTCATCACAAAAACTCCGGAAGGTGATCCGGCACAACACCTTGTGCAACAAGTCCTCTATCGAGCTGCGAAAAAAGCTGGTAAGAGTTTGGATTTTGATTGTTTTTGTATTATATTTAGTTGTGACGTATATCTTTTTAAACTATTCAGCCTGCTAGTTAATACCAATTTTTTTAAAAAAATGTCTTCTGTAGAGTACTAAATTTGATACATCAGAGATTACAGTTATGCATTTAAATGGATTACAGGTATGGATTTTCATGAGCTACTTGAAATTCCTCAAGGAGACAGAAGAAGATATCATGATGATGTTTCTGTTGTTATCATTTCTTTTGAGGGAAGAATATGGAGATCTTGCACATAAATGAAAGACATACAAGAAATAAACATGAAAATGTTGAAACAACATATTCCTAACACCCACAAATGACCACATTTGGTCATGCCATACCAACTATGGCTTCATTTGGGACGGCGTTCTTCCTGCTTCTTAAAGAACTTTCTAGTGCAAAAATTAAAATTTTTAATTATACTTGAAAGGCGCTTTAAGAAGCAGGAAGAAAGTCGTCCCAAACGAAGCCTAAGAGAGGCCAAGTTTGGTGCCATTGTGCGTAGCTGAAATATGAGGAGGTGCTTTTTTGTGTTTTTTTTATGCTTGATGATCAAATTCTTTGATATTTACTCAGCCATTAGCTTACTTTTTCTTTAAATGAATTTAATAACTTTGGCTTCTATGACATGAGAAATGGACATTTTCATGAAGAAATGATTATTAAAACAAATAACTAACACTTGAACTTACATTAAAACATTAGAGAAAAAAAAAAAACTTGACATATATTCACCATTTGGCGCATTCAAAGAACTGGATGATGTTATAATGACAAATATATTAATAAAGCAAATAAACAAATAAATAAAGGATAAGATGAAAGGAATGTTAAGCACATAAAGTGTTGAGATCTTATGTTGTATTGTAAAATATAAATGATCTTTGGATGTTAGCTGCTTAACTATATTTGCTGTCTCTCAGTTGACTTTTTCAATTAGTTGGTTTCGAGGTTTGCTTCAATCTTTTTCTAAATTAGATATTTGATTACGTCAACCTTTGGATGGGATTGGAGTTGACTGCGTTTTGTTATGATATTCTATTATAACTAGCTAGATGACTTGGTAAGGTGTTTAGTTGTAATGATGATTAATAAAATATTTGACAGATGTCACATATAATAGTAATATTGGATATTGTTTTACTTCTCAAATATATTAACAATCTAACTTTCAGTTCATTATGTTGATCAATCAAATAAAAGTGTGTTGCACTTTTGCCAGCTTTGATTATTCCATATAGCGCAAGAAATTAGCACTGCATTAGAGGACATTGATTTAAGCAATATATTTTTATAACATTGATCTCAAATTTGATATCTCAAGGATATGGTTTGAAGAGATTATTTACTCTTGATGAGGATTTAATCAATAAGTGGCTACGTGCTACAAAAAAAATATATGAAAATGTGCACCGACATTCGTTCGTGTTAGTTTATCAAAATATCATGAGATCTTGAACTAAGTTCAACAAATTATTGAACATAAATCAACTCAACAACTTATGAATATGTATTTGGCCAACTTGAACTTTTCTTCATGCTCAAGTACCTAAGAACAAAAGCTTGTCAAGTCACCAAGATGTGGAATCATAACCCGTCTCCAATACTTGAATACTAAACGCACCTAGAGGGCTCCTAAAGTTGCTACTCATCTAAATCGCTTAACATGAGAATTTGTGATGTAGTGGATCTATGGAAGATTGGATCTGCTAGAAGGGACATCACCAAATAGGAAACCAAATAACAAGCTCAAAGCTCAAAATAACATAGTATTCTTCATGTCCCCCTTTATTCTTATAACCTTCTATATATAACATATTGAAAGAAATTCGTAGAACTTTATACAAAAAAAAAAACATAAAAAATTAGAACTACTATTCAATACTTTAACTAAGATGTTCCATATCAATTTGTTACTCTTCAAGAGACTTGAGCTAATAGCTTTTGCTCAAAAAATATATCAAAGGCACTTACTGTTAATACAAAATTTATCATAAGTTCTAAAATACCAGACAATGGCTGGTCAAACTCACTCGATATACCGCTATCTTGGCCAAGTCTATTAATATGTTTAATGTTGCACTGTCGATTTTACCCTCACCTATTTAAAAAAAAAAAAGATAATTAGTTGATTGTGGGCATAAGTTAATCTTATATTTTTAGCCAAAAGTTCTTAACAAGAATTCTATATTTCTCTCTCAATTTCTTTTTAGCTCTGGCTGAGTATCTCCCTTACTCCTTAAGGGTTTAATATAATTTACTTTAAACTAGCTCATTAAATGAATTCAATGAACTTTAATTTCTTCTTCTTCTTATCTCTTTTTTGGTTCAATTCAAAATTGTATTAGAGTTTGTGTAAAACTAAAGATAATATTGCATCCAATAATAATGGGTTTTATGCATATTTCATCTTAAGTAAAATATCTATAATAAATATGAATATTAATTGTGAATATATTTGGGATGTAGCATTGCTAACCAAATTTTAATTTCCAATAAAAAATTAGAGAGAAAGGAGGGGATCATATAGACATTTACTACTTCTTATGATAACTTTTATGTTATAATTAATGATATGAACACATTATCTTTTTTTCTTTTGGACATTTAGGACAATTAAGATAAACACACGCACCCAAGATATCATAACCCAACTCTACTAGGATAATTCCAATCGTGTTGAGATGTGATTAGCAAATCCCAAGATCTAGTTTTGGAATGTTCATATTCACTTCTAATGTTCATTTTAAATAAATATAGATTACATAGCTACTAAGAAATCTACTAAAAACAAACTCATCCTTAAGATTTTTTTTCATTTCACCAATATATATATATATATATATAGTACATGATTACATGCAAAAGCTATAAAACTAAACTGAATATTAAACTAGCTATGACTCCATAAAAATCAAAACAGAGAAATACCTATAACCTCATATTTAATTTTGAACAACTAATCGATAGTTTTCTTCCCTTTTCCAGATCCTAAAAGTTACAAGCAAACCACAGTGAGCTACAACAGCTCAGAATGCCATACAAATCAATCTAAATTTTTAAATATTCTTTTATTAAATATTTTGTTGAATATTTAAAAATAGTTAAATATAGTTTAAATAAATCATTATACTGAGAAATATAATAAATACATAACAGATATTTCACGATTCAAATAACAATATTGAACATATAAATAAATTGAAATATTCATATCATAGAACAATTCATATAACATTTCTTGGACCCAAACAGAGCATCAAAGGATTCTAGCCCCTTATGACTCTCTTTTTATACTTGTAGCACCATAATATATCACATATCACTGTTACAAACAAACTCTCAAAGGATTTTAACCATTTATAGCTTATAACAATTCCCTGACACATACAAAATCCTAGAGAATTCTGGTCACTCATAACTCCTAGTATATATAATTAAATCACATATGCACATATATCATCATATTATAGCAATTAAAGAATAATTGAGCATGTATTATAATTATATAGTATTGTATAACACTAAACAATAAAAAAACATTGCTAGTCAAAAATACACATTCTCTAAAAATAATCAATTTATCAAGGATTATTTAAAACAATATTTTAAGAATTTTATTATGCTACAACACTATTTTTCAACATCCAAATAATTTTTCATTTAATAAAAACCTTATAAATTTCAAACCCCATGTTATAAAATTTTCATAAAATATTTAAAATGTAGATAATTGTAATCTCTATAACATAAGAAAGTTACACGGCGAAAGTTTTATCAGTACAAAGTTATTTGTATTTTTTGCTAATTGACGAAAATGGCTCGAAGTTGCAAAAAACTATATTTTTTCCCTCTCTATCTCCTCTCTTTTCCATAATTTCTCCCAAACCCTATTTGTTTAGTGAAAATGAAGCTAAAATGAAAAAAAATTAAATTAAAAGGACATAATGATCAAGGTAATTAAAGCATTATATTCTATATGTTCTGGCAAAAAAGATTGCGATTTTGACTTATAATGACTCATGAAATAATTATTGATTGTTCTAAGTAAAAAAAATTCTAAAAATTTTATTGGTGTTGCGGGCTAGAATATACGTGACGATAGAGTTAAAATTATACGTCTTCGTGTTGCACAGATATCCAGCTCACACACAGAGAACACAAGATTAAAGGAAAAAATCATAGGATCTGGCCCAGTCTGAAGTGATTTCATTAATGTTTGGGATAGATTACAATGGGTTGACTCATCCTTAAGGGCAATCATATTACAAATGCCAACTGTATGTTGAAATCTAGTGACAAATGTGGGTAAAAGTCTGGCGTCACTTAGTAGTCCGGCGGAACTACGACGTCAAACGATGGTCAGGTGGAACTACGACTTCAGGCGGCGGTTCGGTAGAACTACGGCATATGGCGGTGGTCCGGTGGAACTACGGCGTCTAGCGACGAATAGACGGAACAACGGCATCCGGCGGTGGTCCGACGCCTAGCAGTGGTCCAGCGGAACAACGAAGTTAGACGGTGGTCCGGCAGAACAACGACGTCAAGCGGTGGTCCAGCGGAACAACGACATTTGGCGGTGGTTTGACGGAATAGCTGTGTCTGGCGGTGGTCCAGATGAACAACGACTTTAGAAGATGGTCTGGCGAAACAACGACGACAGGTGATGGTTCGGCGGAGCTTAGAGCCTCAAGTGGTGGTCCAACGAAGGTCCTCAAAGTGGTGGTCTGGCGGAGGTGAGGGCCATAAGTGGTGGTCCGGCGAAATTGAGAGCCTCAAGTGGTGGTACGGTGAAGGTGAGGGCCTCAAGTAGTGGTCCGGTGGAGCAACGACATCTTGCAGTGGTCCGACAGACCTCATGCGGTGGTTAAGGAGGAGAGCAAAGAGATAAGAGTGATCTCCGATCTCTCTCTTTAATCCTTTTGGCTTAGGAGTCCCTTTTCAAGAGAAAAGAGGACTCTATTTATATATTTTCTAGAGTGGCATGGCCTGTAAATAGGTGGAGGATCAAGGGCAAATGGGGAGTGACTTGGATGGACGACCGATGTTGAATCCCTTGATCATGAACCGTTCGTTAGACATTTGAAGGTCTTAATGATGTTGAAATTCTGCGATATTGGGTTTGTTGGATTTGTCTCGTCAAACCACTAGATTCGACTATAAGCATGTAATGTTTGGAAACCGTTTGGTAACCCAAATTGTGGTTTGAACCTTCCAACAACGCTTCAGATCCGTGATTCAAACCTATTTGAGCTCGGATCGAGTCAAATTTTGCGTCATTGGGTTCGTATTGCCGAGACATTCAGTTCGCCTATAAGTTTACTAAAATCGGAACTCAAATGGTCCCAATTTTAATTTTTGGAGTTTCCAACTTGATTTTGCATTGAGATTCATGCCTGATTAATGTAATTTTTAAATGATGTATCAACGGGATTTCACACAAGGGTCGTTGCGTTTCATTTTAAGCCCATAGTGTTCTGAAAGAGTCAAACAATCCAACTTTTCAAGATAATATAATTTAATTATTCTTTCTTAATTAACCCTTTAATTTGTTTTTGATATCTGGACAAAATCATATTAAAGATTATAAACTGAGGCTACAGTTGGAACAACTGTTTTAATGTTTTCTAAAAAGCTGTCCAAAAAATTATCAAGAAATTTTTATACTAAAAAGCAATGAGAAAGCTGTCCCAAACGAAGTATAAGAGTATGTTCGGGACAGCTGCAACTTTTTGTAAACATGATTATAAAATTGTTATGGGAAAATGAATTTTTTTTAAAACAATTCTAAAAGGCAGCTTCTTTTAGCACAGAAATTTTGTGAAAGCTAATTGTAAATTGACAATTAGCACACTAATTAACCTATTTGATCTATATTTCTTTTTTATGTAAGATATTGATTAGTTTGGTTAATTATAAAAGGAAATAAATTTAACTAAAGGTCTTTTTTAGAGGAATAATTATTAGGTCCGGACACTGGTCGTAGCTCTACATCCGAACTCCAATAACATGTCGTCACATGCTTCTACTCTTTACCGTGCGGCCCGACAACCCGACCCGGAACGGAACCCGGTATTGCTATACCCCGGTTTTGTTAGGTATTGCTTGGCAATAACGAAAAATACCGCTCTGTCAAGACCAATACCTAGCAATACCGAACAATATCTAACAAAACCGGGGTATTGTTAGGTATTGCTCGATATTACTAGGTATCAGTCTTTACATAATGATATTTCTCGTTATTGCCGAGCAATGCCGAGCACTACCTAGCAATACCCCTGTCTATACAAATCAACCAATACATAACAGTACCAGGTCCGAGTCTGGGTCGGGTCGTCGGGCTGCGCAGTAAAGAGTAAGAGCACGCGGCGATATATTATTGACGTCCGGATGTAGAGCTATGTCAGGACACCGGACCTAATAAAAATTCGTTTTAGAGAACTTCCTTGTTGCTTTGTTTTTTAAACGGTAACTACAGTTTTATTTGACTATTATGTACTTTTGCACTTATTTTCCAACAAAAGCATGTAAGTTATTTTTCTGAGAGCAATTTCACAATTCTTTTTAATTTTAAAAACAAAGCGGAAATTTTAATTTAAGAAACAATTAACTCTACAACACTAGAGCAAGCTCTCACTAATCAAGTGTCTGACTAGCAAGCTAAGTGGCGAAACTCCGCAGCTCCTCCGCCACCTCCCTCAGCGTCGGCCTCTCCTCCCCGCTCACCATCAAACACCTCCTGGCCACCTCCGCCACCGCCTCCACCACTTTCTCCTTCCCAGCAGCTTCTTCTCTCACCCTTCCCTCCAACATCTCAAGCAACCTCCCCGCCGCAACCCCTTCCCGAAACCTCTTCCCCAATTCCCCTTTCTCCACCGACACAGGAAATTCCCCCGTTAACAGCTCAGCCATTACCACGCCGAAGCTATACACATCTCCCTTCTCCACCGTCCTCCCCGAAAAGTTACTGAATTCCGGATCCAAATACCCATCCCTGTCTTTCTTAATCCTCAGAAACGTAAAACAACCCACCATCATCAATCTCGCTCCAAAATCGGACAACTTGGGCACCATCCCTTCGTCGAACAGTATATCCTTCGCTTTCACCCCGCGATGGAATTGCGGATTGGGGATGGCGGAGTGAAGGCAAGCCAAGGCCTCTGCCGTCATCGTCGCGATTCTCAACCGATCTTCCCAAGACAGGGATCCATACAGTTCGTGGATGTGGTGGTGGAGCGTGCCGTTGGGCATATACTCGTAGACCACCACGGGGAGCGGCGTTTCGTCGCAGCCGGCACCGACGATGCGGACGATGTGCTTATCGGCTGGATGCTTGGAGAGACTGATCAGCTCGCTTATGAACTGATCGATGTTGTGCCCACTAAAGGAGACCCATTTCTTGATAGCGACGATGGGATGATGATGTGTGTTGTCGGCGGTGGCTGGGAGGAGGCCTTTGTAGACGATGCTATCGGTGTTGCTTCCAGGGCCGATGATGCGGCTTTCGCTGTAACTGTCGGTGGCGCGGTCTAATTCCTCGGCGGTGAAGATGCGGAAAGTCGGTGATATTTTGAGTTCCGCCAAACGCCGGCGGAAGATTTCTCCCCCGTTTTGCTCGCAGGAGTTGTCATCGATGGGCCACATCAATTAGTTGGAGGGAAGAGGGCTTCGTAGAATAGGAATTCAGGCGACGGAGAGATAATTAGAGCAGGCAGGCCGGCCATCTGCTGCGGCCGCCTATATATAAATTGGTAAATTCGGGTCAAGCGGAGAAAATAACGCGAAAAGAAAGCGAAACCTGCAATTTAAGCCATATGGAACGCTACAAATTGCCTAAACAGTGCTGACAAAAAAAACTTTTTATAAAATAGGAGATTGATGATCGAAGATCGAACAGGTGAGAATGAAGAATGCAAAATCGGAGATTGATGAGAAAAGGTAAATCCAGTTTTTATATGCAAAGATAATAATAATGTTCTCATATCTATCGGTGGGGATAAATACCCAATATCAAAAAGTACACCGAATTTTGATCGAGCACGAATTTTGAGGCATAAAAAATTAGAAACTTTTGAAATTAAACTTAGGGCCATCTAAATGCCGATTTCAGCAAATTTGTAGTCAAATTGAATATCCCACGAAGATGAACATGACGACACCAAATTCGATCTAATTTGAGCCCAAAAAGGTCCAAATGAAATGATCAAAACATATTTGAAATCTTAAAAACATTAATTGCATGACCAAATGATATTAAAATATGACATACTTATAGTCGAATCGAGTGGCTCCACAAGACAAATCCAACGAGCCCAATATCACTTAATTCCGATGTCGTTATGATATATAAATGTTTGAAGAACACTCCAAGATAATTGATATCAGTTGTCCGATGGAACACTTTTAAGTTTGTCTAAGATCTTTTTCATATTTAATAAGCATGTCACTAGAGGGATCTCTTGCATTTTCCACCCATCACCGCCACCATTGGATTTCTTCTCGACTATTGATCGTTGTTGGACTTTCACTTGTCCATTGACTATTATTGATTCTTCAGAAATGTGATGTCACCGCCAGATCTCTTCCCGACCACCGATCATCAGATTTCCACCTATCCACTGACTATCGTGTGATTCTGCAAAAATATATGAAAAACTTTAAGTGTAAACTTTTCTATAAGACAAATTTATATGCAATAATTTACATTCTTAGAAGTTTAAACAATTATTTTATTAAACATTATAAAATAAAAAAATCATTCAAAAAAATTAAGTTCATTTAAAATTAATTAATTAATACACCAATTAATAAAAATTTTTGGCGGCCCATAATACTTATGAAGAAATCAATAAGACATTTCATTATCACAAGATTATTTATGGCTGTCAAAATCGGGTCACGAGTTGAGTTCGGGTCCAATCCGAAATTGACTTGGCAATGTTCGAGTCAACCTGAACTAACTCGCATAATTCGCTCCTTGGACAACGTTCCCTTCCAGTCGAAACCGAAAGTTACAACATTTTGATAGGAAGCAACAACTGGACTTCACTCGCTGTGAAGGTAACTTTCTCCATTTAATGCGCTTCTTCGTAGTTGTTCGACTTCGCTCCTTTGACGATGTTCTCTTCCAGTCGAATTTGATGTTACAACATTTTCATCATAAGCAACAACGGGAGTTCACTCGCGGTGAAGGTTTCTCCCTTTCGTGCACTTCTTTGTAGTTGTTCGACTTCGCTCCTTGGACAGCATTCCCTTCCAATGAGATCAGATCATAAGCAATGACGGGAGTTCGCTCACTCTGAATGTAACTTTTCTCTCTTTCGTGTGCATATTCGTAGCTATTCTACTTCGCTCCTTGGAAGATGTTCCCTTCCAATCAGATCGGAAGTTACAACATTTTGATTGGAAGCAACGACAGGAGTTCGCTCACTGTGAAGTTTTCTCCCTTTCTTGCGCTTCTTCGTAATTGTTCGACTTCGCTCCTTTGACAACGTTCCCTTTCAGTCATATCGAAGTTACAACATTTTGATCAGAAGCAATGACGGGAGTTCGCTCGCTGTGAAGGTAACTTTCTCCCTTTCATGCGCTTCTACGTTCTGGCTAGATTCTGGGTCAAAACTGAGTTTTCAAGTCAACCCAAACCCTACCCGGAATTCTAAACTGATCGAAAATCAAAACCCTAACCCGACTCATTACGGATTCAGGTTGACCCGAAACCAAAATTTTCGTGTCGGATTCAAGTCAAATTTTAAGATTGTATTAGTTTTTGACACCCCTATGATTCACAAAGCTCTGTCTCTTTTCAAGCCAAAGTCTGTCTGTTGGATGGGGGTGTAAATGAGTCAAGTCTAGTCGAGTTTAGGCCCTTATCGAGCTCAGCTCGTTAGATGGAAAGCAAGCTCGAACTCATATCACTGTAAACGCGCTCGAGCCGGCTCGCTAGCCATGGACGGAAAATTTTAAATTTAGGCATAATTTTTAAAACATCAGTGGATTTTTAAAACTTAGACACAATTTTTTTAAAAAAAAATATGAAATGTTTAACATTTAAATAAAATTTAGGTGATTTTTATTATTTTTTTAATATTTAAATTTAATAAATAAGATAAAATTATTTTAAAAATATTAATATTTATTCGAGCCGGCTTATGAGCTCATGAGCCGAGCCGGCTCAAGCTCGAATTCGTTTACTAAACGAGCTGGAACTCGAGCTCGACTTGCGAGCTCAATAAGCTCGGCTCGCGAGCCCATAAATGAATCGAGCTCGAGCCGGTTAGGCTCACTTACACCTCTACTGCTGGATGAAGAGGACGAGTAGTTTCGCACTTTCGCCTAATGCATTAACCTTCAATGTCTTGTATATTTTTTAATTAATTTAATCTAAGTCATTGGATCAATACTCAAATAAAAAAGAAATCAAAACTTATCAAAAAAAAAAATTGACAAATTTTATAAATAAAAACGTTTATAATTTTTATCTTTAAAGTAGAAAACGAAAAAAAAAAATTATAAGTAATTTACTTAGGCAACAATCATCTCTTTCGACGTGGTGGGCCAACTGACATGGCGTGGAGAGCCGACTGATGTGGCATAGCGCATAGCACTATTTAATTCCGTATAGCATGCAGCTTTCTTTGGTCTGTTGGTTTGAAATTTGACTCCCAACTAAGAAGTTCGAGTCTCACATATGTGTTTGGAGGCAACCCCTAATTTTCAAAAAAAAAAAAAAAACATATATATAGCTCTTCTGAAAATTAAAAACTATCAACAAAAACAATAAAAAAAACACTTCTGATGTTAAAACAAATATCAAAGAAAATAATATTTTTAAATCTCTTTAAATAAAAAAGAAGATTTTCATGATTTTTTTTAAATGCTGATGTGGCAATGGCAAGGCATTATTGTTATTTTTTTTACTATTTTACGGACAAAAATTATAAACGTTTTTATTTATAAAATTTGACCATAAAATTTTTGTTCGGCTAAACCATTCAATAACACACAAGCACAGCTAAATTATTTAACAAACTGCCAAATCTGTTTCACCATCACAACCATCCCAGTTATCCCTGGGAAATTTTTTTAAACTAAGTATTGTATTAATTATAATTAAGCAATTAGCCAACATTTTAAAAAATTTTAAAACTCGCAAAGTCGCTTGTTTAACCGGCGACTTAATATAAAGCGTAAGTCGCCCGTTTAACAGGCGACTTACCCCATGCTGACTCAGCTAGCCGTTATGTGTACGAATAACGGGATAATGTAATACTAGTAAGTCCCCCGTTAAACGGGCGACTTACTTTTGTGAATTAAAAAAAAATTGCAACTAAAAAGGATTATGATTAATATTATTGTTGTGTCCAGGAGTATTCGCGGCGGTAGAGAAATATAAAGTTTATCGTCTTAGCGTTGTACGAAAATGCGGCACGCAATCAGATAAGAGAGAGGGTCTAGCATTTATGAGACACCAAGATTTTTACGTGGAAAACCCCTAAAAGGGGGAAAAATCACGAGGCCTAGCCCAATTTGAATGAATCCAGGGAGAGAAGAAGAAGAGAAGAAGAGGAAAAAGGGGAAAAGGAGAATCCTCTCCTCCTCGACCACCGCCGGAGTTCGTCCTACCTCCTGAACACGCCGGGATTCTGCGTGATATTCGGGAGAACGCAGGAATTCTTCCCAACTTCCACGTGATGCTGAAATTCTTCCCAATTTGCAACAGAGTTCCCTCCTGACGCCGAAACTCCGCGCAAGTGAAGCCGGAGTTCTCCTTTGCCACCAACTGACGTCGGACTTCTACCCGACGTCGGACCTTCACTCTTTGCCAAGTTTTTACCCGACACTGGACTTCTACTGGTTATCGAACTTCGTTGGACGTCTACGCGAAGATGGATTTCTTTTCATTGTTGGACTTCTACCTGACGCTATCCTACTGATCTTCATCGTCAGATTATAGTCTTTCCGACCTCCATCGCCCACCTAATACAGTTCTTTCGACCTCCGTCGCCCACCGACTATGGTCCTCCTGACTTATGTCGCCCGCCGACTACAGCCTTTCCAACCTCTGTCGCCCGCCGACTACAGCTCTTCCGACCTCTGTCGCCTGCCGACTACGGTCCTTCTGACTTACATCGTCCACCGACTACAGTCTTTCTGACCTCTGTCGCCCGTCAATTACGGTCCTTCTGACTTATGTCGCCCACCGACTACAATCTTTCCGACCTCTGTCGTACGTCGACTACGGTCCTCCTGACTTAAGTCGCCTACCGACTACAGTCCTTCCGACCTCCGTCGCCAGCCGACTACGGTCCTCCTGACTTACGTCGCCCACCGACCTCTGTCGCTCGCCGACTACGATCTTCCTGACTAAACGAACATGTCAATAGTGATTCTTTGTATTCATATCATGTAATGTACTTTATAAAATGTACATCAAGCTAAGGCCTTCTCCCAAGGAAGGGCCTCATTTGTAATCGACTGCAATACTATTGGATTCATTCAAACTGGGCTAGGCCCCGTGGTTTTTTCCCATGGTACCCTCATTCTTAATTTAATATGCAAATAGACCTTACACAAAGTTAAAACCTTGTGTGATATAAGTCCTCGACAAAGGGATAGTGGAATCAAATAGAGGGGTTAGAATGGAG